AGCGCGACATGGTGACTTGAGCCAAAACGGCCACGGAAGAGCAGGAGGAGGAGGTGGAGGAGCAGGAGGAGGAGGGAGAGTAGGACGAGGGGGATGAGGGACAGTGCGCCCGCAAGTGAGCTGCGGGTGCAGCCGCATGCGCCCCCCCCACTCCCATGTCGGCACACCCCTTGCGTGCTCCGTGACTCCATAAGGAGCTCTGTCTCAGACCCCGCCTGGTTCATCCGCATGCGCCCCCCCGCCGATTTCGGCGCACTCCTCGCGCGAATCGTGGCCCCAGAGGGAGGTCCACCTCAAGCACCAACGGGTGTGTCCACAAGCGATTCCCGGCCCAGTTCGGCACCCCTCGCATGTTTCGCCCCCGCATCGGGAGCTCCGCCTAAACTCAGCGTGTGGCACTTGGTGCTCCAAAGTGTCAAGCGCAAAAAAAGGTCGCAAACGTGTCTCCAACAATAGACGCGCCAACGTCGAAATGTGCAGAACGCGATCAGAGCCAACCGGAACCCTTCAGGCATTTAGATGTCCTTTAGCGCCCCCGTCAAAGCAATTTCGTCACAAGCACAGCGTCGACATCGCAGGGGGCGCTGCTCGAGTCAACGGATGCCCCGGAGGAGATCGGGTGTTGGCCCGTGGGTCTCACGACGACTTTGCGTTGTTCAAGTCGGGGGGAGACATCTCTTCGCGATCTAGGAGGCGCCCGATTGACGGCGTGCCGATCGAGTCATCCGACTTGGCGCCTGCAGCTTTTACGCGGGTGTTTCTGCGGTCGCCATATCCACGCGCTGCTCGGGCTTGCTTTCGTTGCCTCTGGAGGCAGGGGCGGTCAAGGCGGTATTGAGACGCACGTCGTCCACGGCCCGACGGACAAAGCCCCGCGCCACAACCCATGCAGCCCCCTCACCACAGGTATTCACTATACGGCGAGGACGTCAGATAAGGAACCGTTGGGCAAGAAGGTCAGCGTCTGCAAGCCAGGGTGAAACAAACCTAGGCTTGTCCCGTGCATATCACTGCCACCCTGATCAGAGAATCAGTCACCCAGGGTCTGAAGCCACCGGGTGCATTCCTGGATGAACACCTGGGCCGTAATGAGCGCAGTCGGCTTCGAGACAAGTCTGCAGCGATATGATCTTACTTGCCGCCCGTCTGAAGGTCCTGAACGCAGGTGCCGAGATGGCGTGCTCGCGTTTAACGGCAACGTGTTGCAGCTAACGTTTTGCGTCGGCATCTGCGCGAGACATGCCCCCGAAGCTATTCCCGCCCCGATGCCTGAGACGCCCAGTCAATTTGCTTTGAGGCGTCGATGCGACAATCTCCTCCAACTTCGCCCTGGCCAACGTCAGTCGACGACTAATGGGTGCCCGCGGCGTCGCTCGGCGTTCCAGCGCGCCCAATCAAGGCAGAGCCGAAGGGAACTATGCGTCAGGTGAGGCGCGGGCAGCCTAGAGGCGAAAATCAACGTTGGCGTCGTGGCCACTCGTCGACCACTCTCGAATCGACTCAGGATCGATAAGTCTGCTTTGTGTTATAACGACGCGGCTATAGGCTACTGCATTATGTCAGCAATAATGCTACAACAAAGCAGTACGACATCGTCATGCCATTCTCCAGGGTGTGGTGTACGACCAGTAAGAGAATGGACAACAACAAGAAGTGTGGCACGCCGTGCTCTGGAGTCTCTAAGCGATACAACTGCAATTGGGAAGGGCCACTGTTCTTGGTCGTGCGCGTCGCGAGGGGAGAACTGTATGGCCGTCGCAACCCACTGGGGCGTCCTCTACTCGCGCGATGCCCCCCTGGCCCCGAAGTCGCCGCTGCAGAGGCGGGCGCTTGGCGAAGCATCCGCCCTGGCGCGGAACAAGAACAACATTCGATCGCACAGCCCTGGTGAACTTCTCGAGGAAGTGTACGGAATGGTCCAGGCTAACTCTTCGGCCACCTAAAATCTCGCCCTCGCACCCTCGCGCCGCCCACTACACTAGGACGCAGGCGCCCACTCTGGCCCGAACTGCGATGCGCGACCTACCTTCGCGCCCCCGCGGGTGACCTTCCCACTGGATGTCCGAGATCGCCCACCAGAAGTCGGGCGTATGAGGAAAGCCTGCACGCGCACGTCGAAAGGTCGGCGCAAGGATACAAAGTGAGTGGGTAGCCGCGAGGTTGGAGTCGTCGTAGGCCCTTCGCGCTCGGCGAAAAAGCAATAGCTTCGCCAATATGTGCCAGCATATGTCTGATCATTGACAGTCCCCGCCGCAACAAAAAGGACGCCGAAACTGATAATGCTATAAGGACGTATGTACTCCCGTGCAGACGCAAGCCCAACAGCTAGATGCCCAGCTTCGTGAAGCGTACAGCTGTTATTTGGCGTAAAGACATGCGTGCGACATACGGCAAGTGCGCCACTCAAGAGACCAACTCGGCCTTCACCATAATATAATGGTTTAATAGTCAGGTGCTTGGGCACCTGCTGCGCCCAATTTTGACATCAATACCCCTGTGGTAACTTGGCATTGGAGAAACTTGGCGAGAGTCTATCACTGGATACTGCCCGTGACGCTGGAACAGCGAATGAATGTTCCAAACCGTACCAAGCCCGCGAGCGACCGTTTGCCGAACCAGACTGTGCAGCCGCCTTCGCTCAGCGTCGGGCCCGGTGGCGGGAACGGACAATTCGTGTAAGCCTTGGCGGCCGTATTGCTGACGCTTCGGCGTCAGAGAATGGAGCCAAGTTTCTGTGGGCCCCACGCGACGGCCCAAGTTCAAGCTGGCGTAGGACGTCCCAGCTGTCCGACAACCTGCCCTCCCGTACGGTCCTCTGAATGTGCCTGCCTGGCTACCTGTCTGACGTGACTTCGCGGATCCTCCTGCCTCGCATCTCGACCTTGGTATGGTCAGGGCATCTGTCGGGTCCTACTCGACGCCTCACTGGCTCTGCTCTTTTCCCTGAACGCAGCCCGAACCATGAGCACGCGACGCTCGCCACTATCTTTCAAGGGACCAGGTGCAGATTTGACCACCCTACCCTAGACTCATTCAAGCGGGTGCCGACGAGCTTGCCGACCGACTTCGAATGTATGTTCTTTTCTGCCTTCAACTCACATTCTTCTAGCCTCCCTCCTCCCTCCTCCCTCCTCCCTCCTGCTTGATCTCCCATCTCCCCTCGCCTACGTGCGCTCGCCTGCTTCCAGTGCACCCGCGCAGCAGCGTAGGAGCTGTGCTCTGTGAGGAGGGGGCGGAGGGGGAGGAGGAGGAGGATGATGATGATGAGGAGGAGGAGGCGGAGGCGGAGGAGGAGGGGGAGGAGGAGGAGGCGGAGGAGGTCATATCAAAACCGAAGGGTCCCCGACAGTACGGGAGCGTCGGATTGGCAAGGTCGCCCTTTGGACGCAGATCGGGCCCGTCTGGCGGGTCAGTGGTTGTGTTCGCCCGACAAGCCTTTCAAGGCTTTCATTTATGCTATGCTGGGTGATTTGGAATATCATGCAGCGTATTTAGAGATGCCGTACCCAGCCGACGAGCATTTTTGTTGGCTCTGCCCGTGTCACAAAGGCGATGGTGAAAACGCATTCAACAACTTCATCGAGGATCGGGTTCCCCCCCTCCGCCCCTTCCCCCCTCGGGTCCCGTGGGTGGGGGTTCCATTCCAACTGCACTGGTTTTCTTTCAAGCAGGCGATCTTGAGCGAGGGAGCGTCGACAAGTCGTGCATGTGATAATAATGATGATGCCTTGTGCGAAGTCAGGTGCTCCAGCTTTGAGGTACCTGTACATCTGTAGCCGCTGCCATGGCGGGCACCAGTGCCTCAGCAGCCGCATAGGGTACACTCGTGCACACTACCTCTGGAAATTCACGTCGATGCGCTATCATACGAGAGTAACATCCTTTGTGACATAACTCGCGAATGTGTCGGCACTTGTCGTTATCTCCGTCCTTGTAGGAATCCCAAAGGATCAACATTCGAACGTTCCAATCGGCGATGAGTGTGTGCGACTATCATACTCTCATCCACAGGTTGCACCTGCCGTGATCTTCACGAGACGAACGCGCGCAGAAACATCTTTCCTTACTGGCGCGAGCAGTCATCACGAGGCGATAGCTGTATGACGTGGCCAGCTGGCCAGAGCTGTGCCGGATCCTTGAATTTGAGCGTGCCAGACGACGCCCTTGAGAAATGTGCCACTCGGGCCGAAATGGCCACGGAGGGGAGGAGGGAGGGCAGGCTGTAGGGGAGGCTTCGAAGGCTGCTTGAAGAGGACCTGAGGCGGCTGTTGCAGGTTCCGAAGGGCTGTGGGGGAGGCGGAGGAGGGCAGGTGGTCGAGAGAGGGGTTGAAGGGCCGAACGGGCACGAACGAGCTGGACTCTGCGCGGAGAGAGAAACGCGCGTGAGCACGCAGCCTGCCTCCTGTTTCAGGGGGAGGGGCCAGCCCCCCGATGTGATGCTTTCCCCGGCGCGGGGTCCTCTGAGATCTCGACCACTACCCCGGGGCCGTTCTTTTCTCCCCCGGGATGTTTCTGGACGGTCCTGGAGCCCGAAGACGAGTCTTCGAGGCCGAAAATGGCAAAGGACCTCCGTGTTGACTCATCCAAAGCCGTTGGAGATCTGGGGAGGACGAGGATCTGCAAGGAGACCGTGGGGCAGCAGCGGGGGAGACGCCGTCTGTGTGGGCCCGGGTGCGATCTGTGCCGCGGAAGGGACGCTTGTTCGCCTCCTTGGGTGCCGAGCCGTGCCTCAAACGGCGTCCCCACTGTCACACCGGGCAGCTCGCAGCACCGAAGGCAGCAAAATCATATAGTGTGGAAGCTGAGCATGCGCGCCTTTCGCTACTCCATGATCGTCCTCTCTCCTCCCTCCAACTCTCTCTGAGTAGAGTCTAAGCTTTACAACGCTTCCCTTTGCGCTCGGGCAGAATCAGGAAACGTGAGGGAGTGGCTTGCTGCAGCCAGGGAGCCTAAGGCTTCCGCATGACCCAAACGTTACTTCTAGAATACAGCACGATCACCTACTGGCGCGAGCGTGCGAGGGGATGCACGTGAGCCTCCCTGGAGGCCAGCGTCAAATGAACATCGTGTTTTTCGGGGGCGCGCGGGGCGGAGGAATGCTGGCAAACAACCGCTCGATCGACTCCTGCTCGTGCCTTGGCGCCGGGACGAACACATCCTCGCTGCCCAAGAGCCGGTTGCTGTACACCGGTGCCCGGCAGTAGATGGGGTCGTGCGCGCCCGTGGGCTTCGGCGGCGGGTAGGGCACGCGCACGGGCGAGCCCGGCCCGTGGCCAGCAAGAGGCCACGAGCCGCCCTGCTCGCGCGCGCTGCCCTGCTCGCGGAGGGGGGCGCTGTCCGCGAGGAGAGGGGCCGGGGCCTGCTGCTTCCCACCGTCCGCAGGGGGCAGCGTCCTCGGCGCCGGCGGCGGCGGCAGTCCTGGGCAGGCGGAGCGAGTCGGATCGCGCTGCGTCGGCACGCAGGTCGGAATCTGCTCGGGTCGACCGCGCCAGGATGGCATAGCAGCGCTATGCAGGCATTATGGTTAAATCGGGCGTGTCCCCCTACAGGGGGATTTTGGACGAAAAATAAACAATACCCCCAAAATACTCCCAAATGCTCTAAAAATAATAAAAAACCATCCCCTGACTATTTTTTGACTATTCTTGAAAATCCCCCCTGTAGAAGGACAGGCCCGACTTCACGTCATGGCCGCGTCGGACCAGCGAGAAGTATGGGAGCCGGATCGGGTCGAGCTGGCCGGGCCCGCTGCTGACATGCAGTCCTCCCAGAGCCCGCCCCCGCCCGACGCTGCCCCCGGGGCCTCTGGGGCCAGGGCTCGGCTCGCCGGCTTGCCGCTCGGGGACGATCCTGGGGGGCAGCCCGGGGGACACTCTCGGAGCGGCGCAGCTGCTGGACGGCGTCCCGAGGCCAAGGGGGGACCCCCCCGAGGACCTGCGAGAATGTGCACGTCGTGCATGTCTGATCGGTCTCAATCCCCAGGCAGTGCTTGCACTGAGAGGGTCCTGGCGGAAGTTGAGAGATTTGACGAACATTTCCTGCCGATGTTGGTAGCAGGCTGGGTTCCCGGGTTCCCGGTTCCGGGTTCCTGGGTTCCCGGTCGATGATTGCAGGCCGATTTCGGTGGGTTCTGGGTTCCCGGGCTCCCGGGTTCCCGGTCGATCTCCTCAGCGAAAACCATCCACTGATTGGGGCTTTTCTCTGGTGTAATTTCAAATTGTGCTCGTTTCTAATTGTTCCTGGCCCCCTAGTGGTCAGGAAAAGGCCCAGGATAGAACAATCAGGAATGAGAGGCTCTTGGCCCCCGAAAAAATCAAAGGACTTTGAAGACTTGGACATGAACAATGTGTACCAGAAGCTCGAACCTCGAATGTCGATGAACGGGCGATCAAGGGGGTCGACTCGGATCGGTCCGATCGACTTGGGCGCTGCTCTTTGAGCAGGGACGGGCCGGGGGGTCCCGGGGGGGGTCCCAGGGGGGGTCCCGGGGGGTGTGGGGGGGCAGATTCGTTTTTCGTCGGGCGGCCGAGAAACTTCGAAAACACTCCAAATGAGGTCCGAATGCCCCAGATGGCCCCCGAGACGGTCCAAGAGGGCCCCGAGTCGCCTAAAGATCGGCCGAAAACGCCCAAGATAGCCCCAAGACCGTCCAAGAAGCCTCCAAGACGTCCCAGGCCCCCTCCAAGAGACCCCCAGGAAGCCCCAAGAGGCCCCACCAAGAGGGCCCCGAGTCGCCCAAAGATCGGCCGAAAACGCCCAAGATAGCCCCAAGACCGTCCAAGAAGCCTCCAAGACGTCCCAGGCCCCCTCCAAGAGACCCCCAGGAAGCCCCAAGAGGCCCCACCAAGAGGGCCCCGAGTCGCCCAAAGATCGGCCGAAAACGCCCAAGATAGCCCCAAGACTGTCCAAGAAGCCTCCAAGACGTCCCAGGCCCCCTCCAAGAGACCCCCAGGAAGCCCCAAGAGGCCCCCACGAGGCTTCCAAGCGGCCCCTAAGAGCTTCCCAAGAGGCCCACAAACTACCCCCAAGAGGCCCCCAAGAGCGCTCGTCGTCGTCGTCGTCGTCGTCGTCGTCGCCATTCAGGGTCGGCGGCACCGGCCGTAAGGCCTTCGCAATCAAAGGACTTTGAAGACTTAGAAATGAACAATGTGTACCAGAAGCTCGAACCTCGAATGTCGATGAACGGGCGATCAAGGGGGTCGAATCGGATCGGTCCGATCGACTTGGGCGCTGCTCTTTGAGCAGGGACGGACGGGCCGTCCCGTCATTGCTACTACAGGCCTGCCACGACATGCTGTTAGAACAAACGGATCTTATAGTAATCACAGTGTTCTTATACCAGAAAGCCGGCGTGCTCAGACAAGACGGCCTCAGCCAGAGACGTCCTAGAAGCTGTCGGGCAAACCACAAGAGGGTCTCAGAACATGCTCCGGGTGGCCTATAAGCAAGCCAAGACGCCTCGCCACTGCTTGATGTCCTGTTTGGACGCCCGAAGTGGGTACGGAAAACATGTGAACGATGCCCAACAACAGATGTGATCCAAAACCGGCAGTGGCCGCTGTTGGGGCAGGCGAGCTTGTGTCTCATACAGACAGAGACCGCGGCGACGCCGACGGCCGATAAGTCGGGTCAGCGATCGAAATGCTTCGGACCGGCGGCAATCGGCAGCCAGGTCGGGAGATGTCGAATCGGCAGAGACCGGAAGGCTGGTGGGGCCTCTCTTGAGAGACCGACAAGTCCCGATCGGAACCCGAAGCCGAATGGAATCGTTTCCTCCTCCGCCTCCTCCACCCCCATCATCGTCCCCACCATCCTTGGAGGAGCTCCGGGGCAAGGGGCTGATGTCCCACAGGGACGTGGCCTGTATGTGGGAGCTGAGGGGGTGCAACAGGCCTCCTGCCCCTCCTACCCCTCCTCCTCCTCCTCCGCCTCCTCCTCCTCCGCCTCCTCCTTCCCCCCCTCCTCTTCCTCCTCAGCATCCTCCTCGCGCCCAAACGAGTCGGCTACACGCAAGAGCGACCCTGGATAAGAGTGACCTTTGGTGCGCGGCTTCTTGGGGGCCGCGGGGGGACCAAACCTGGGCGCGCAAGCCGCTGCTCCTGCTTCGTTTTCAGCCACCTGGGGGCCCATCTGTGCCCGCACCAAAGGTCACTCCGGCGAGAGGTCACTCCTACGCCTGGTCGAACGAGCCGGCAGCGTCGAAGCGAGCCCGCGGGCTGGCTGTCCCGGGGGCGACGGCCGCATCGGCCCCGGCCACGCCACGCCCGTGCCCGGTGGCCCGCGCCCGCCCACCACGAGCCCGCGGGCGGCCGGGCCGCTCGTGGCCGAGCCGCTCGCAGCCCGGGCGGGCGCCCGCACCTCCTTGACCTCCTGCGCGTCCTGGGAGGGCGCCCAGGAATAGCTGTTGTGCGCTCGAGGGAGAGGGGGGTGCTCCTCCTCCTCCTCCCTCCTCCTGTTCCTCCTCCTCCGCCTCCTCATCTCTCTCCTCCTCCTCCTCCGCCTCCTCCTCCTCCTCCTCCTAACCATCATCAACACCAGCATCGTCATCATCACCATCATCACCATCATCACCATCATCACCATCACCATCACCATCACCATCACCATCACCATCACCATCACCATTATCATCATCATCATCATCATCATCATCATCATCATCGTCGTCGTCGTCATCATCATCATCGTCATCATCATCGTCATCATCATCATCATCATCATCAGCATCATCATCATCGTCATCATCATCACCATCTCATCATCACCACCATCACCACCAACATCACTATAATCATCATCACCACCAACATCCTCCTCCTCCTCCTCATCGTCATCATCCCTCCTCCTCGCCCTCCCCGTCCCTCACCTTCGCCCCTCATCCTCGTCCCTCTGCCATCTCCTCCGCCCACTTCGCCGATCCTGGTAAGGGTTCATCCTGGGCCCAGAATTTGTGTTTACGCCCTCCTGGCTTGGCCAGGAATGCAGATGCACCGCTTCCAGGCCCAGGATCGGTGTCGGTGTGCAGTTGGTGCCCTCCGATCCTTCATCTCCTGCGCGTCCCTCGCTCGCTTCACCTCCACGTGGCGGCCGTCGCCCAGGGGCAACAGACGGGAATCGCTACTTCCCAAGATGCGGCACACGTAGCTCAACGTGCCCCTCTCTTCGTCCTCTTCTCCCGGGTGGCCGCGGCGCTGGTCCTTCTTGACGACGGGGTCCTGGAAGACGACCCATCCGAAGCCTCGATGGTTCTGTGGGGCGGACCGTTCGGTGGCAGACCGTTTTGTCTTGTGCTGCTGCACCCAAGCCCGCTTCACTGGCGCGTACTCTTGGAAGAGCTTCTTGAGGTCATCCTGGCTGTAGTCCTGTGGAACGCCACCGACGAAGACCTTGTTCCTCTGGTCCGGGGACGGCTGCTTTCTGCCGCTCGGCGGGCAACTCGCCTCGGAAGGCTCCTTGGACTGCTGGGACGGTGTCGTCGAGCCGGAGGCCGAGCTGACGTCGGAGAAGCCTGGCTGAAGCACCGTCGCCTGGGGCCTGGCAAGACCGTGCACGGCCATGGTGCGCAGCGGCCTGGGACCGCGCGACCGCGGGCCGTCGATGTGCGAAGGAGGCGCGACAAGCCGAGTGTGCTGCTGCAAAGCTTGTGTACCAAAACGGCTGTGGACGATGAGGGCGCGGAGGTGCTCAGGTAGGACGAGGACGATGCCATGGTGGAATCGTCTCAGGGTGCGTCCAAGAACTGACAGGGTATCTAGCGGCCCTCGTTTCTGGAGCCCGCTCGGAGGTATAAGAAATCCAGGACATCCTGGAAGGCATCAGCATCACGGATTCTTGCTCCTCTTGCCATCGCTCGGACGTCTACCCCCCGTGCACTCTTCGGTCCAGTCGTTTTGTTTTGTTTGTTGCTGTTGTTGCCGTGGTGGTTGTTGTTGTCGTTGCTTTTGCTGTTGTTGCTGTTGTCGTTGTTGTTGCTTTCGTCGTCGTTGTCGTTGTTGTTGCTGTTGTTGTTGTTGTTGCTGTTGTTGCTGTTGTTGTTGTCGTCGTCGTCGTTGCTGTTGTTGCTGTTGTTGTTGCAGCTGTTGTTGTTGTTGTTGTTGTTGTTGTTGTTGTTGTTGTTGTTGTCGTTGTCGTTGTCGTTGTCGTTGTTGTTGCTGCTGTTGTTGTTGCTGCTGTTGTTGTTGCTGTTGTGGTTGTGGTTGTTGTTGCTGTTGCTGTTGTTGGTGGTGTGGTTGTTGTGGTTGCTGCTGCTGTGCATGTCTCGCAGGCGGGCCCAAGATGCTCCGCGGTGGTCCCCGCCGAGAGACGAAACAGGAACGGGCACACGCCCGAGCGATGCCGAGCCCTCGAACTCCTGGGCCCGCGGGCGCGGGGGCGGCGCGGCAGCGCAGGCGGCAGGCGGCAGCGGAGCAGCGCTGCCCCGGCGGGGCCCGCCCCGCCCCGCCCCGCCCCGGGCCCGCGGCCCCCCCCCCCCCGGGAGGCCCGCGGCGCCGCGGGCGTCCGAGTCCGCCGGGAGGTCCCGGCGCCAAGAGGCTCCCTCGCCACGGGCGTGCCCGCTCGGCTCCGGGCCCCCGGGGCTCTCACGGGTCGACCCGGCTCGGAAGATGGAGCATAGGGGGAGGGGCTCCGGGGCTCCAGGCGTGATTTTCGGCGCTGTCGCCACTGCGTCGGATCTCAGGGGCCACCCGAAGTCGCGGCGACCCCCCTCGATGAAGAGCGCAGGCCGCCGGGCAGGGAGCGGACGGCGGAACCACGTCCCTCCTCGCTTGCCCAGGGTCTCGGGCCTCCGAAGCCCTGCAAGAGCTCTGGGCCCCGCCAGCGAGGACGAACTCTTCCCACCTTCTCTGAGGCCGAGCTCGGAGCGTGGCTCGGGGCCTGCTCGGCCAGGCTCGTTCGGCCTGGCAGTCGAAGAGGTCTTCCTCCCCGCCGTCTTCCCCCTCTTCCTCCTCTGGCCAGGCGCCCGCGAGCCTCTGCCGTGGCGGGGAATCGCCGGGAGGGCGGCGAGCCGCTCTGGCGGAGCGCTGGCCGAGCTCTGGGACCACGGCCACAGAAGCAGGGCGCACCGATGGCGTCGGGACAGTCGCAGCCCACCTCCTCCGCTGGCACCTCCTGGTCGAGCTCGCCCTCCTCCCGCCACGGGCCCCAGCAGCCAGGCGCACGTCTGCTTCCGTGGCGCTACAGGCCTGGCCCCCCGTGAGCTCTCGACTCCATGCTGGGGACGGGGTTGTCATTCTGGGTCGTTTCGCGACGGCGCCCGAAGCCAGCCTCCCGAGGCCCCCAAGCCAGACCCTCTCCTCCAGCGTGCAACATCCCGTTCGCGACGTGGGGTTCTGGGGATCTCGACCCCCGGGGCTCACTTGCCATCCCGGGCATTCCAGCGGGTGGGGCCCAGGAGCGGTCTCCCCACCCCGATGACGAAAATTGGCGGCGCCCACGAGGCACAAGGGGGTTGGCGCGAACGGGGCGGCCTCCTGAGAAGGCGGGGGGGAGGGCTTCCAAGAAGGCAGGCGACATCATTTTTACAAACGCCCACGGGGGACCGGCCCAGGGGGGACCGGCTCAGGGGGGCTGGCTCAGGGGGGCGAAACATCGAGCTGGGGTCGGCGACGCCTCGCCAACCGATCGGCGAGAAGAGCCTGACTGCAGATCCGGACGCTCCTGGGCCGGCTGGGCCATCGGGCCCTCATTGGGCTGAATGGGCGATTTGGGGGTCGATGCATCCCCTCCTGAGCCCATCCCCGTCCAACGTTGCCCCTGAGGCGGGCAGCCGACGGCGACGAAACGCGCGTGGTGCGGTGACCTCGGAATCCCCGAAGACCCCACCGCACGGTCCGTCACCGCATGGTTCTGGGGCCTTGGGGGCCCCCATCGCCCGAGACGTCCTCAGAGAGCGACCCAAGTCCCAAAGCCGTGCGTCCGCCCCGAATCCCCACCGACCCACCACACGGTGGTCACCGCACCGCGGGGCCCCCAAAAGGGAGAGGAGAGGAGACGCAGGGGGGCAGCAGACGACGACGACGACGAACGCGCATGGCGGGAGGCCATCCGGCGCAGAAGCGCGCCGGCCATGCCGCCCCACCCACGGCCGCAGGGGGGCCTTGACGCCCCACGTGGCTCGGCGTTGCCCGCCGATCTCCTGGACTCCGCAGGCCACCATGGCGGCGAAGACCTCGGAAGGGCCCACTCTTGGGAGGAATGGGGGAAGAAGGGAGGGGAGTCGGAGTCGGAGGAGGAGGAGAAGGAGGAGGAGGAAGAGGAACAGGAGGAGGAGGAGGCCCTGACCTCTTCGCGCCGTGCAGAAACCACGACGGGAGGTCTTCCGCCTGTTTTGGCCTTCGGGGGCCCTTGTTGGGTCCCGGGATCATCAGCAACGACTCGGGATGAGAGACCAATCCTGCTGAATGGGTCGAGACCTCCAGGGGTCCACGTTTTGAAACAGCCGCGACGTCGGGGGTTCGGGCCTGGGGGAGGAGGTGGAGGAGCAGGAGGAGGAGGAGGAGGATGAGGAGGAGGAGGAGGAGGAGGAGGAGGAGGAGGAGGCGGAGGAGGAGGACGAGGAGGAAGGGATAAGGAGGAGATTGTTGTGGATCGCGCGAACGCAGTGCCTAAAACAGCTCGCTCCCGTCGGACTCGGGTTCGGAATCGATGTCCGACCCCCTTCGACGGGACGTCTTCCCGAGCGCCTGCGCTCTCTCCAAGTCAGAGGGAAGGAGCCCGAAAGCCTCCAGGACAACGCGCTCGGACGCAAAACCAGGGGCCCCGTGGGCCTCTTAGAGAGGGTAGTTCGCCGCACCTGGGGATACCTCGAACAACATCGCCTGGCGCAACACAAGCAGCTCTTCCAAACACAACGGTTCTGGGAGGGCTAGTCTCAAGTCCCTGGTGGACGCACTTCGCCACGCGCTCCAGGAACAGCAGAAAGATCATGCTCTCGCCGCAAACTCGGCTGAGACCGGTGAACACGACACTCTCGTCGATGAAACCGAAGCTCAACAGACCATATCGACCCCCGCCGCGGCCGCGGCCCTTGTGGTTCTTCTTTTTGTTGTCGTCGCCGCCGCCGTCGCCAGCACTGCCACCGGCATGGTGAGGGTCTCGGTCCATCACGTAGACGTACTCGTAATACTTCTGGCAAATCCGAAGGATCTGCTCCGCACCCGCGATGTTTGGCAGGTCCAGGCCATCCCAGCACGCCATGGTGTAGATCGCCCGCGTTCCCGCCTCATAAACATTGACGACGTAGTCGTCGGCCGACAAGTCTAGAGCCGACTTCCAGACTCTGAAATGATCGAGCTGACCACCCTGACGTCGGTCGATGTACTTGCAGCACCATAGGCATGTCCGCGGACCAGGGATGTACCAGTCCACGAAAGCCTCCTCGGTGAAGCTGGCCACCGCATCGCGCCACTGTCGCAGAAACCGACCTCCAGGCACACCAGGTTTGAGCAGGATGCCCATCAGCCTGGCGTCCGAAACGGCCTCCCTCCCCGCAGAATTACTCCTGAATCGAACCCGGGATGGAGCGGATGGCGACCCACAAGCCGTCGGCCATCGGCATCAGGCCCGCAGAGCCCTTCAGCTCGGAGCCCGCGGGAGGAGTCACCACCGTCCCCCGAACGCCCACCGTCGTCGTCTCCACCAGCACCCAACTCGCGGCAAGGGCAGCGCCAGCAGCCGCGGCAGGGGCAGCGCCCGCGGCCGCGGCCGGCGCAGGAGCTCCAGCAGCTGGCGCCGCCGCGGCCCCTGCCCCCGCGGCCGGCCGGCCGCCAGGCCCGCCACCCGCTGCGACCAAGGCGGCGGCCTGCGGGCCCGCTCCGGGCACGGCGGCAGGCACGACAGCCACGGCTGGGGCAGCAGGGGGGCCATGTGCAAAGGCCAGCGGGATTATGAAAGGACCCGCTGGTGCTGGCAGTCGGAGTCGGAGGCGAGTGCCGTCGTGTCTATCTGCTGCTGCTCTGCGGCCGTCAAGTTCCGCCTTGAAGTGGTGCGAGCTGGTAGCGCAAATCCCTCGAAGGGAACGAACTCCGACCGCTAGCGTATCTCACGGCAACAATGTCACTCCCAGAACACGAGTAGTCTTCCTCATAGATGTCAGTATCGGCCGTGCATATCAGGACCACAAAGGACACGAACTCAGTCGCCACCCGCACCCGTCGCCCCAAGATCAGACGCTGGTGCCATAATGGCTCGTCTTCGTAGCGGACCCACGGCCACTGTCGCATTTCTGGAGGAGTTGCCTCCGGTGGGGCCAGGTTCACGGCGGCCATCATGGCGGCGACATCAGGTCAACCAATCCGCGCTCCAACAGCCGTAGAGATACCACGCTATGAAACCAATGGGTAAGAATTTGTTGGCGAGAACAACTATCCAGAACGAGTAAGGACCAACCACACTCTCCACCTCGACGCTTCCAAGCACAGGGTTGGCTGGGGCCGGCGACCCGCCAGGGCGCGCTGGACAGCCAGGACACGGTGGGCACGCTGCGCAGCCAGGGAACGCCGGGCACGCAGGAATGGATAAGGAAGGACAGCGCTGGAGATTCCCTCCCCAGAGATAGGCGAGGGCCCCTTGCCAAGCGTACTGGGCAGCGGGCCAGAGGAAACAGTTCTTGAACCAACAACCCACGGAAGCGACTGCATCGACGGCCTGGATTCAGACGCCAGCGGGGGAAGACATGCACGCATCACATATATATATATAGATAGATATATGTATATATTCATGTATTTAGATATTATACGAATCATCGCGCGCTTCGCGCGCGCTCAAGTTCTCGCTAGGCCTGATGGGCGAACAGATGGAATAGCATCCTTCTTGTTTCTTGCATCCAAAGACTCTCTTGGAGGCCCTTCGCAAGCATCGGAATCGCATAACAGGGGAACTGCGGAAACGCACAAATCTTTAATTGTCGTTCGGTATTCATTGGGGCCCTCGAAGGCTTCCTGGGTTCTTTTCTGGGGCCTTCATTGTGGTCTGTTGTGCAAGAGAAGACACAAGGGCGAACTTGGAAACAAAAACGGGATGGTGGGATTTCCCTTTTTTTCAAGTTGTAGTGCCTGGCCTGTGGGTTCGACAATTTCTGCATGCAGGCCACGGTCTGTTGGGATGCCTCTCGAGTCTCGAGGTCTTCGTGCAAAGATAAGCAGGGGGTGAATTCGAAAAACAAAGGAATTCTAACATTCCACTGCTTCAAATCATGGGATCATGTGATCTCGATTTCTACAACAGTTTCAGGGGCAGCCAAGAGGACGCAGACGATCCAAGAGAGTGCCAAGACAGCGTCAGAGAGTTCAACAGCATTCCCGAAACATTTTCGCATGTGACCCCGAAGTCTTGATGGGGGCTCGAGGAAGAGGCTAGGGAGTAGGAGTCTCAACTTGAAAAAAATGATATCTGGACTTTTTCTCAAATTCCTGTCTTGGAGCGTTGGAAGCAGGAAAACATGAGAAGGCGAAAAGCGTAGACAAAAACCATTGGAAAGCATCGATTTGACCCTCTTCGGGCTCTCTCGGGACGGCTCTCGAAGCTCTCTTGGGCTGTTTGGGGAGCCTCGTCGGGGATTTTTTGGGAGCCTCTCAGGGGTATGGGGTGGGTTGGAGGCCTCTGGGGGGTCCTGGAGTCCTCTCAGAGGTCTCTGGAGGCCTCCTGCTCCCGCTCTTGGGCTCATCTTGGGCCTGTTCTGGGGTTGTCTGGAGCTGTCCTGGGCGCCTCTTCGGCAGTCTTGGGGCCGTCTTGGCCCGTCTTGGGGCTTGGGGGCCTCTTGGGCGGTCTCGGGGCGGTCTTGGGGGCCTCGTCGGCCGTTTTGGAGCGTTGGAAGCATGAAATGGTGAGAAGGCCAGAAAGAACACAAACCAATGACATGACAATGAACGACATCAAATTCTCTGGGCGCTCTCGGGAGGCCTCTCGGAACTCTCTCGAGGTCTTTTGGAAGCCTCCTGGGAGCCTGGAGAGCCGCACCAAAGCTATCCTGGGTTGCTTGGGAGCGTCTTGGGCTTTTCTTTGACGTTCTGGGGGCTTCTTAGGGTCGTCTTGGGCTGTCCTTGGGCGTTTTGGGGGCTCCCCGGGAGGTCGGGAAGCGCGGTACCGCGAGCGTTCCGCAAATGTTCCGGGAAGGTGTGGGACACCCGGGAGGAGGGGGCGCGCATTTGCTGAATTTGAACCTCAGTCTTGGAGCGTTGGAAGCTGGATAACGTGAGAAGGCGATAGAAGTGGACAACAACCATTGAGAATCAACGTTTTTACCCTCTTCGGGCTCTCTCGGGACGGCTCTCGAAGGTCTCTGGGGCTGTTTTGGGGGCTTCGTCGGAGCTTTTGTGGGGGCCTCTCAATGGCCTGGGGTATGTTGGAGGCCTCTGGGGGGTCCTGGAGTCCTCTCGGAGGTCTCTGGCGGCCTCCTGCTCCCGCTCTTGGGCTCATCTTGGGCCTGTTCTGGGGTGGTCTGGGGCTGTCCAGGGCGCCTCTTCGGCAGTCTTGGGACTGTCTTGGTCCGTCTTGGGGCCGTCTTGGGGGCCTCTTGGGCGGTCTTGGGAGCCTCTTCGGCCGTCTTGGAGCGTTGGAAGCATGAAATGGGGAGAAGGCCAAAAATCCTGAAACAAAAGCAATGAAAGTTAACGGTTTTAAATTCTTAGGATGCTCTTGGGAGGCCTCTCGGAACTCTCTCGAGGTCTTTTGGAGGCCTCCTGGGAGCCTGGAGAGCCGCACCAAAGATATCCTGGGTTGCTTGGGAGCGTCTTGAGCTTTTCTTTGACGTTCTGGGGGCTTCTTGGGGTCGTCTTGGGCTGTCTTTGGGCATTGTGGTGGCACCCCAAGCGGTCAGGAAGCGCTGTACTGGGAGCATGCACGAGATGTGAGCGAGGTGGAGGACGCCCCGGGAAGGGGCCTGGCGTATTTGTTTATATGCTACATGATATGATATGAGATGATATGTATGTATGTATGTATGTATGTATGTATGTATGCATGCATGTATGTATGTATGTATGTATGTATGTATGTATGTATATATGTATGTATGTATGTATGTATGTATATATATGTATATATATACATATGTGTGTGTATATATATATATATATATATGTGTGTACCTCGGGTTCCCGCTGCGCGAGTCTCAGAGATCCCCAATCAGAGCTTGCCTCTGTAGGGGCCCTAGCGGATTCATATGGTTAGGTGAGGTGGGGCGCCGATTTGGTGGCCGGTGGCCGGGTGCCCGGGTGCCCGTGGGTGCCCAGGTGCCCGGGTGCTCGGGGGTGCCCGGAGGTGCCCGGGGGGGCCTGGGTACCCTATAGCCATATAGCCTCATAGCCTTGTAGCTCTATAGCCCAAAAGCCCATATAGCCTTATAGCCCAATAGCCCTCTAGCTCTATGGACCTATAGCCCTAGAGCCCTATAGTTCTAGAGCCCAATAGCCCTATAGCCCTATAGCTCTATAGCCCTATAGCCCAATAGCCCTATAGCCCTCCAGTCCCATAGCCCCTATAGCCCCTATAGCCCAATAGCCCTATAGCACTATACCCCTATAGCCATATAGCCCATATAGCCCTATAGCCCCATAGCCCTGTAGCCCTATAGCACTATAGCCCCATAGCCCCAGCACACATCTGATTGGGTTTTTTCCGGTATTATAAATATATACATGTTTATATGAATCCGTTATATATATGAAGATGCGCGTGTGTTTGTGTGCGTACCTCGGGTTCCCGCTGCGCGTGTCTCAGAGCATCGCCGGACTACGCAAGTTTACAAAGAAGCCAATGTTTTGCTAACGTGATGCGTATCACTGCCCGACGATAGGATTCTTCGTAGCGTCGCGAGAAACAAAGAGAACGAGAGAGAGAAAGCGAGAGAGAGAGAGAGAGAGCGAATGTGTGTGTGTGTGTGTGTGTGTGTGCGTGCGTGCGTGCGTGCGTGCGTGCGTGCGTGCGTGCGTGAAAACGTTCGCGTGTGCGCGACCACCCCTCCCAGGGATCTGTCGTCTCGGCTTTTCTGAGGGCTCCATCTTATCTTGTGGTTGCTGACACCTTGGAGGATGATGAGGAGAAGGGGGAGAAGGGGCAGCTTGACGAGGAATATACGTATATGATCAGGAGGAGGAGGAGGAAGATCAGCATCAAGACGACGCTGCCCTGACCGACACGAGACTGGTCACCGAATCTATGAAGATGGTCTGGCATCCTAGACATCTGACGTCGTGATTTGCTTACGATGTTAACCCCCAGAGGTCTCGACCCATTCCGTGGGAACGGCTCTTCATCTCGAATCGTTATTTGACGTTCCCGGGGTCGGCAAGAGCTCCCAAAGGCCGACAACGGCCCAAATCCGACCGTCGTTCTTTTTCATGACGTGAAGATTTGAGCGCTCTTGCAGCGCGCAGAGAGGGGTAGGGGGAGGGCGGAAGGCTTCTCAGAAAGAGGCCGCTTCGTAGAAGGCGCGGGCTCGGCACCTGCTGTGAAGGCCCGCGCCTTCAAAAAAGCAGGGGTGCTTCTAAGAAGCCTCCCCCACCCTCCCCTTCCCCCCCCTCTGCGCGTGGCCGAGGGTTGTCGGCCGATCAGCCGGAGGACGGCTTGGCCAACACGGACAGGAGGAGCAGCGAGGCCCGGGGCGGTGGCCCCTCGCGGGGGTCGCCCCCAAAGGCGGCGCTCGGGCGCTGAGCCCCCCCGCCAGCTACGGCAAGTTCGTGTCGTGACGACCTCGTCGTTGGCCTCTTACACCGCGTGGATCGCTCAGCCTGGAACGATCGACGGCTTCTCGATCGCCGGATCGTTCCATGTCGGCCGGCTGTGGGCCACTGGCAGCATCCTTCGGCGGGGTCGCCCCTGCGTCGACACGACGCGAAACTACCTACCCTGGGGAGCGTGCTGAAGCGAACCATTACTGCCTGTAAGGCCCCCCCGCACAGATCCGGCGGCGCGAACAAATACGGAACAAGATCGATCCGTGATGGACCGAAACCGGTCGAAGACGCCCGGTGCGAAACGAATGCGACGCCCGAGTGCAAAGGCTCCGTGCGCAGCCCCAGGACCTGCCGAGGAGGAAACGGAGGAGAGTCGTGGTTGGGGGACCCCTGCGTGCCCGCACCGAAAAGGTCACTCCAGTGAGGGGTCCCTCTTGCGTGCAGCCTCCTCCTCCTCCTCCTCCTCCTCCTCCTCCCCTCCTCCTCCTCCTCCTCCTTCTCCTCCTCCTCCTCCTCCTCCTCCTCCCCTCCTCCTCCTCCTCCTCCTCGTCCTTCTCCTCCTCCTCCTCCTCCTCCTGCTCCTCCTCCTCCTCCTCCTTTTCCTCTTCCCTCTCCGGGAAAAAGGACGAGATCTGGCCGTCGGCCCGCACGCGGAGCTGGGCTCAGGCCGGTACGCCCAGCCAGATGGTGAGGAAGACCAGCGCCCAGAAGCCGGCCGCCTGGCGGCTCGCTGGCCACTACCGTGGCCGTGGAAGCGACGCGGAACTCATCCTGGTGCTATGTTTTGCCCGCGAGGACTGGTCGCCAAAGTCTGGGACGCTTCTTGTGGTCGGGAACTTCTGGATAGCGTGTCGCGGCGGCGGCCCGGGCGACACGCTCTGCCTTGCCATTGCTCGGGAATTTGTCGTTTGGACATGGAAAATGGATAGCGTGTCGAGCAGAAGCATGGTGCCAGAACCGGCGGAGGGACACGCGATCCAAAGTTCCCGATGATAACTTGCGTGCCTCTGGAAGCCTCTGGGGGTTAGGACCCTGGGCATAACCAAAACGTGCAACCTCCTTCTCCTCCTCCGCACCTTCCAGCGGGCACGTTGAGACGGTTCACCACTTTATCACACTTGCGAGCAACTGGCCATAGGAGGTCGCGCCCTTTTCTCGAGGATCGCCTAAAGTCAACTTGGCATTTTTACGGCCGTAGGAAGACTTCCGTGGTATGTACCCCATTGGCTACCCCACTGGCTAGCCTTTCTTCGCTGGCCCCCATGAACAGGTGTTGCACGGTCAGTTGCGTCGGCAGCGCACACGGCCGTGCACCGCTGATTTTGCTACTGTACTCATCTTGCCGAGTGCCGCCAGCGTGCTCATGATACCGAGCCGCCCCTGCATGCCGCTTGATCGTGACCAATTGCCCGCCGCTCCCCGCCCCACCTCTCCGGCGTCATCCCGTCGAACAAGCTGGGATGTGGCCAAGGTTCGCTGACGCGAGTTGGAATGATTGATGGGGGCGGCCTAGGGAGTGAGGGGCGGGCGCGTGTAGAAGCGACCGCCTACGTGGCGCGGGCCGGGCCGCTGCGCGCATGAGCCGCCGCGGAAATAAACGGCACGACCTACTTGTCATGAGAAGCAGAAGGGCCTCCTCCTCTCCTCCTCACTCACTCACTCATGGCGGTCCTGGGTTCTCCTGTAGCCATGCGCACCTTTCCTGTCCCTCCCACCCGACAAGAACCTGGGTGGGAGGGGGGGCCCATTAGGGAGAAGGTGAAAAAACAATACGAAGCGATGTAGAGAGCATCGGAACACTAACAATGAGGCGGGGAAAGGGGGAGGCGCCTGAAGTAAAACAGCACAGACGGAGGCCCCCCCCCCCCAAGGGCGACAAGGCATGCCCCCAGAGGCAAAAGCGGAAGAGAAAGGTAGAGAAAGGGAAGGGGAAAGCGAAAGAGGAGAGGGGAAGGGGGCTCGCCTATAGGCCCTTGGAGTGGTTCGGTCGCCGTGACGCGAGCATTAAGAAAGAGGAATGATCAACGCAAAAGCTCTGATGCAGGAGGAGGAGGAGGAGCAGGGAGGGGCGCAGAGGTAAGCAGGTATGTGGGTGCGCGACGGTATTGCAAACAGTAGTTGCCAGGCGACAGAGCTGCATGCGGTGACTGTAGCATGAGAGGGACAGGAGGAGGAGTACCAATGATGATCCAGAAGACGAGGTCGGAGGCATTGCGATGGTCAGTGAAAAGGTCGGTGGCGGGGTGGGTGGGTTGGGGGGGGGGTGCTGCAGTTCTCGTGCTCTTAGGGTAGAGGTCAGAGTGCTGCAGCTAACTTGCTCTTTTCCTGCTGCTTCCGCCTGAGGGCATACGGGGCGTGACTGCGCGGCAACCGAACACTGGAGTTAACAAATCCTAATCGTAATCACCTGGCAACTCCCTGCATTTCAGTCCCTTCCTTCTCATCGTCCTGCTCTGACTCCTGCTACTCCTGCTTCTCCCCCACCCTTCTTTTCCCCGTCCACCTCCTCTGCCTCCTCAGCCTCCCCCCTTTCCTCAACCTCCACTCCGGCGACCCTCCTCAGCCCCCCTCCGCGTCCTCCCTCCTCCCCCCCGGCCTCCACCCGCTGCGCCACGCCCCGTGTGTGGGCGCCCTCCCCCCGCGCCACCGCGGAGGAACGCGAGAGAGGAGCCGAGGGAGAGGAGCCGAGGGAGCCGAGGGCGTCGAAGGGGGCGGGCCGGGGAGGCCATCCACACGGCCACAGCCCGTGGCAACGACAGGTGGCGGCATCCGAGCCCGGCCCTCGCCGTCGAACCTCCCGGATCGATGGGGGGTGTGGGGTACACGTCGTTCATTTCTAACCGTGCTCGTTTCTAGCTGTGCCGGCCCCCCAGTGGCCAGGAAGAGGCCCAGGATTGAACCATTAGAAATGAAAGGATCTTGGCCCCCCAAAATCAAAGAGCTTTCGAAGAACTAGAAATAACCATGTGTAGGGTTCGGATCTCGCCACGTGTCCGACGAACTCCAAACCCTACCCCCCCGCCGCCCATCGAGTTGCCCGAATCCTTGTTCGGCGAGGGCAGGGCCCGGACCTCGCCGCCGAAGCGACCCGACCCTGCGGGGGCCCGGGCTCCCGGCCCCCCTCTCGCAGGAAACCACAGATATTTGGACGCCAGAAGCGGGTACGGGAAAACTCCTTACGATGCCCTGCCACCGAAGCGGCTCAAAACCGACAGCGGCCGCTGTTGGGCAGGCGGCCCTCTGTCTCAAATGGACAAAGTCCGCGGCGACGCCGACAGCGAATCCTGTACAAAATGTACAGGTAAGGAACCGAACTCTATACACCGATGCTTTTTCCGACCCCGCGCTGACATTCGCACAGGAAAATGGATCCTGGTGTACATGGGGTCCTGGTGTATACATTTTCCGTTGTTTCCCCCCAGGAAGCGGGGAAACAACACCACCCCGACGTCGCCCCCGACCCTCAAAAAGTCTTGGGACTGAGAAGCAGAAGTGTAGATGTGCTCCAGTTTCCGACCAAGTTGACACAACGCCCGCGGCGACGCCGACTGCGAATCCTGTTCCAACTGGGCGGGGACTCCTGTCGGTTCTCGTGCCCACCCTCTCCGTACACATCTCGACCGCACCGAACGGCTGGGGCAGCAGCAGGCGGCACCCCGGAGGAGCGGGCCGGCTCGCCTGCCACAGGCCCGCCGCGTGCCCCACGTCGGCCACCTCCAGCCTCGCGGACGACGAGCCACGCCCACGGCCATCTCTGCCCCCGCGGCCCGGACCCGGAGACCCGGCGCCCCGAAAGAGCGGAAGCGGCGGGTTTGGGGCTACGTTCGGCCTGCGGGGGCCCCCCCGCCGGGCCTCGGCACAGGCAAACAATGGTTCGGGACGGAAGACCGGCCGCAACATTGGAGCGGCCGGATGTCTGCGGACGCCGAGCCGCGACCCCCAGGGGTGTGCGGCCCCCAGACAACCCTCGCGTCGTGAGAAAGCCACGACGCAAGAGGAGGCCAGTCGGTCAGTCAGTCAGTCAAGCCCGGCGCTCAAACGGCACATTGGCGAATCAAGAGATTGTTCATATTAATGGCGCCACACTGCGGAGGCAGGGAAAGTGAAAAGGATCAATCGGACAGGGGCAACATCGGACAGGGATCCATCGGGGATCTCTGAGGTCCGGCAGTTCTGGGGCCCATTCTGGGGGATGAATCGAGCGCCGCGGCCTCCTCAGAGCGTGCCGAGACGCTCTGGATCGACCTTATCCGTCCTAGCCCCGCCCGGCGACGGGAGGCTTCTAGCACTTCTCGGCCCCCGGGGGGGCCCCACTGGGCCTCGGGACCTTCAAGCAACGGCTCGGGATGCAGCGCCGACCCCCGGGGAGCAGGCCGAGACCTGCGGGGGTCCACGCCGTGAGAGGAGAGCACGACGGCGGGGGCTCGGCTCCCGTGGATGCGCTCCGCGCGGGGCTCCCGCGCAGGCCCGCCCTGCACCCGTGGGGCCGTGGCCGAGGAGCCCCCCTGGAAGTCCAGGGCAACCCGGAAGTCCAGGGTTAAGGCGGGCGTGTCCCCCTACGGGGGGAATTCCGACGAAAAATGAAAAATACACCAAAAATACTGCCACATGGTCAAAAATTACCTCCCAAAAAGTCCCCTGACTATTTTTGACTACTTTTGAATATTCCTCCTGTAGAGGGACTGGCCCGACTTACATCCAGGGCAACGTTAGTCGGGGACAGGGTCGAGGGCCTCGGCAATTTTACGGCCTCGGGCTGCGTTGCAGCAAAGCTGCGCATCGCCGAGAGCGTTTCGGGGCATGCTCGAAAGGTGTCCCGAAGGGCCGCCGGAGAGCCGAGGTAAGGCCTGAAAACCGGGGGGCGATGTTCTGGCTTCTCGATGCGGAGGGGCAACGTTATGGGGGGGCCAGCTCAAGAGGAGAAACATCGACCTGGAATCGGCGATACATCGCCGACAGATCGGCGACAGGACACCGATAGCGAATCCGCACGTTCCTGGGCGGGGTGGATCAGGCCCCTGACGGCGATCAATGGGTGATCGGGGGTCGATGCGTTCTGCCTGAGCCTATTACCCCCCAACGTCGCCCCTGAAATACTGTGCCCCCGGAAGCCCCGACTCGTTCCGCCGAGGCTGGGAACGGCCACAAACCTTCCGCCGCGACTTGTCTACGACACGTGCACCGAGGAAAAAGAACAACCCACGCACACACTCCACCTATAGGGAGGAGGAACGAGGAAGGGCACGGAGATGAGGGGCACCCCCGTTTCGAGCGGGGGCCCCCGTCCGACAACACACACCCGCAGCCCCCACGGAGGTCCATCCCGAGAGATCTACGGGTCGCGTAGGTCTAGGTGCTGGTTGCCAGCTCGTGAAGCATGTCTGGGCCCAGACCGCGAGGGCCGCGGATGCGGTGGGCGCGCCCGTCGCCCCTGGCGGCCGGCTCCAGTCCATGGCGCCAGCGCCAGGGCCCGCCGTGCGGTGCGAGGAGGCCGCGGTGCTTCCCGCAGGCCCGGGAGCGGCGCGCGCCAGCGCGAGGGGGCGCCGTCTTCAAGGAAGGGTGTTCGGCACGGTCGGAAGGGGCACGGACAGAACCCAGACCCACTCGGGTCATGCAACCATCGTGGTGGGAAAGGCTTTGTGTTTTTCGGCTTCCAGGGGCCCTCACCGGGCCTCGGGACCGACAAGCAGCGACCCGGGACAGAACACTGGTCCTGGGGAAGGGGTCCAGACTCCTGGGGTCCAAGCTGTGAAAAAAAAACGCATGACTTCGAGCCCCAGGAAGAGGCACGAAGACATACACACACATCCCGAAACGGCTACTGACAGAATGGCTAATGTTTGCCCCATAGCGATAAAGGGAGGGCCCCCCTTCTCCCACCCCCCCTTCCCCTCTCGGGAAGGGGGTGACGGCGCTCCTGGCGGCGAAAGACTTATTGTTCTTCCCGCACGGCTGCGGCGGCTACGGAGCTGCGGCGTTTCAGTTTCTGCCACCTGCTAGGGTTCGCGTTATGTCGACAGACGTGGTTCCGACGATCTTGGGCCGCACAAGCATCTGATGCTATTGCCCCCCCGAAGTTCTGTGCCCTTTCAAAACATTCTTGGGCTCCTATACTTTCGCGAAGGCACGCATCCAGAGGCTGGAAAACCGCCAGGCACTGACGAACATGCCCGAGAACCTCGAGCCTCGACACTGGAACCTCCCCCCCTTGAGAGCCCCCCCCAACGTTGCCCCTGATGCGGTCGGGATCTTTTGGATCGCGCGTCGCTGCGGCGGCCCCGGCGACACGCCGTGCCAGTGCAGCGCATGATTGCGATAATTCCCCGCATGATTTGCTGCAGTATTGCACGTGTGCATGCATGCATGTTTTGCGCTTCCGCAGCCGCCGGGGCCGAGGCTCGAAACCAGCAGGGGCACTCTTCCCATGAACTCGAGTCAGGCAGCATTGGAAAGCATCACGCGTCCACATTGAGAGAGCTCTTTGGTTTCATTGTGCCCTGCGAGCGCATGGCGTGCCGCTCCGCTCCGCGGGACGGGACGCTCGGACAGACACTCGGCACGCGGACGCGCCTCGGGGGACCGCGAACCGCGGATACACCGTGCCGCAGCGAGGCGCGGCGGGCCAGGACTGGCGGAGCGACGCGCTGCCCCAGAGCTCCCGACCGTGAGCCCCCTTCAGGAGAAGGAGGAGGAGGAGGAGGAGGAGGAGGAGGAGGAGGGAGGAGGAGGAGGAGGAGGAGGAGGAGGAGGAGGAGGAGGAGGAGGAGGAGGAGGAGGAGGAGGAGGAGGAGGAGGAGGGGGAGGAGGAGGAGGAGGAGGAGGAGGCGGAGGAGGGGGAGGAGGAGGGGGCGCAGGAAAATGGGCGCGTCTTCGACGGCCTGGCGGCGCGCCGCGGCCTCCGCTCGCGCGCGCGCGGCCGCCCAGCCGGCGTGGGGGAGCGCCCCAGGGCTGGCCTGGGAGCGCCCCGGCAGCCCCAGAGGTATAGATTTAGAGCCCAAATGGCACTCCGGCAGAGTTGGCGCGCGCGTTCGCGACGGGGTCCAGAAAGGTCGCCATGAAGGAAGCGGTTCCTGAGGGAAACGGGCCCTGAGGTTTCTCACCGTTTTTGCCTTCCTGGGGCCCACAGGGGCCCCTGCACCGTTAGAAGTCGACTCGGGATGAAGAGCTGGTTTGGCGTGAAGGCCCTGGGGGTCGGGGACCCGTTCCGCTCGGGAGCCGTTTCCATTGTGCCAGAAGAGGCGGGGAAAAGGGAAAACGTGGGAAGAGGAGGAGGAGGAAGAGGAGGAGGAGGAGGAGGAGGCGGAGGAAGGAGTGTCCCTGGCGATGGTCTATCCCCGCCTATGGACGCCGCGGGCGCGCCTGCGCCGAGCCACTCAGGCTCAAGCTGAAGTTGTCCAGGGCGCCGCTGGCGTTGACGAGGAGGCCGACCGAGCTGTCGGCGGCGTTGTCGAGCTGCTCGATGTCGCTCGGGACATAGTCGGGGAAGGCGTCCACGAAGGACGCGAGCTCCGCGATGGCGACGCCGTCGTGGTTCAGCACAAGCACGTCCCCTTCGCCGACGTCGTCAGCAGGGTCGTAGTCGGGGGGGGGGACGCGCCGTTGACGGCGGCAGACGAGGAAGCGCCGTCGGCGCCGCCGAACGCCACCTGCGTCACGGGGTCGAAGGGCGCGTGGTCTGGGAAGGCGCCCTCGACGTCCGTGGGGGCACCTGCAGGACTTCGGCATGATGTGAATGAGCACCATCATGGAGCGAGGCGGCAACGACCACCTGGTTGCCGAAGGTCGGGTCGCCATCGCCTTCCATGTCGCGCAGCATCGCGTCATCGGCCGCGAGGAGCCCGATAAAGACAGGCTCATCGTCAATAAGTTCCTGAACACCAAGGTCAAGGATAAGTTTCAGTTCCGCATCATAAGGTAGTCCATCCTCTGCACCAAGGAGGCAAGTAGGGTGGTGTAGCGTCCATCGAACCATCTCCTTTTTGTCCGCCGAGATCATGCGGTACAGGGTGTCCAGGGTGCGCAGCGCATGCTCGATCTGTTGTTCGGAAATCGCATCATGATGAGCTGGGGCCGCTGCGCGTGCCGTTGCCATGGCACCTGCTGTCCCAGATGTTGCCGGTTATGTCGCCGACGAGGTCGGGCGTGGATCAATGCCTTGAGCATGGGCCTCAAGTACAAGTTGTTGGGCAAGATATGTCGGCGGCAACAACCCCAACATCATGTGAATGGCCGCGTGCCCATGGGCACTCTGTAGTGCGGGAGTCGTGGTCGGGTGAAGAGCTTCCAAATAAACGCAGGGGGCAGGTTCGTGATGCGCCTGTGCGGTCTCAGCGGGTCCCGCAACTGCACTGGGCCCTCCATGAGCGTCAGCAACTCCTTCATCATCTTCGCGACCATTATTAGTTTGAAGAAATGCTTTAGGATGCGTGAGTAGCCGAGCCACAAACTCGCGGTGGTAGTCGGGGAGCGCAAGGTTCGCGTCGAGGTGGCTGATGACAGAATCCTTTTGCGCAGACGTGAGCGCATCGGAGCCGCGAGTCCAGCGGCAGGGAAGCCCAGCAAGCCGAGGGCCTCGTGGATGTCTTTGCTGAGGAACTCGAGAGAGGCCAGGATCTGATCAGAAGGGCCGATGGACGTAGCCCCCTGAGGCGCTAGCTCATCACCCGCATGCCCAGTGCCAGCAGCAGCGGGACCCAACGCCGCATGCCCAGTGATAGCAGCAGCGGTACCCAACACACCCAGAGCGTGCCCAGCGAGAGGAGCAGGAGGGGTAGTCCAGAACCCGGTTCATGATGAGCAGGTGGAGGCAGACCTTCGGGCGGAACTCCGAGCACAGGTGGTGCAGCACCCACAGGTGGAACAGGCAGAGCAGGTGGTACCTCACCATCAAGTGGCCCCTGAGGTACGTCCAGGTAGGTCGGGAGCGAGCTATTGGCGAGGAACGACCGCCGCTGCACCGCAGACGGAGCCGTCGGGGTAGATGGCGCTAAATCCGTGCCTGGCCACCAGCTGGTCGAACTCATCATCGTCCTCGCTGGAGTTGTTCGCAGGCCGTGAGCTCGCAGGAGCCGGCGCTGACGGCAACGGTGGCAAGTGTGATGCGCTGGCATTATGGTCGACATCAGTATCATCAGGAAGTTCGTGTGAACGACGAATGGCCCGCTTCGCCTGCGCCTCGGACTCCTCGTCAGTGAGGATAGGCCCGACATGATAGGAGTACTCATCGTTGTCCATCTCCGCGTCGGAGATGGACTCGAAGGGGCCTTCGCTAGACGACCTGGTTCAATGATCGCCTTCTGCCATCATTGCTAAATCTACGTCAGTGGGAGTGGGGCGCCGCCATTCAAGCCGACGCTGCCATCATCTTCGTCAGGGACAGGCTCAGCCGTAGCCAGTGAATCGAGCGTCTGGTCAGCCAGCAGGTGTGGCAGATGACATTGCCGATGCAGGGCAGGCGGCGGCGTCGCCAAGGGCGCCAAGGCTAGCTGCCGCATGTAGTCGTCCTTCTCTGGTTGCGGCATCCTCGACGGGTCCGCGCGCCACCCGCGTTGGCGAAGATGAGCGAGAGCATGGCGCCGAAGTTTGAGTAGGCGAAGATCATCACGAACGAGCCACTGCTCACGAAGGCGTCGCCGCAGCTGTTCCCTTAGGATGGCGCTGTTGCGCCGGCCGCTGGGGCGCAGGTCGATCGCCGAGTCCCTCGTGGCTGCTGCGCTGCTGTGGAGGTGCTGGAGCTCGGTGTGCCGAAGGACGTCCGAGACAGATGGGGCGCTCCACTGCGTCCACTGCCCGAAGTCGCTGCCCACCATGTTCGTGGAGAGTGGTGGGGGCCAGGAGCGCGCCCGTGCCTCAGTCCGGGCAGCAAGTGCTTGGCGCTGCGCCGCCTGCGGGAGGCCTGGAGAGGCTGCCGAAGGCACAACAATCTCGAAGGGCGGGGGCAACTCGTAGTCCATCTGGGTCGCGTTCGCGGTCCCACCCTCGTCGCTGTTCATCCTTCCCTCATTGTGGTCAGGGGGTCCAGGGAATCGTTCGCGGTCTGGTGATGCTGGGGAGCTTGCCGCAGGCCGCTGCGATGAAGGGCTCGGTGTTGAGAGTTATGTAGGGCGGAGCTGTGCACCATTGGTCGCAACCGCATTCTAATATCGAGTCCCAGGCGCAATCGCGAACGTGGGCGCCGTGTCGATGGGCACTGCGGTTTGAGCCGCAACGCCTGTCGGGTGCACATCGAAGCAAATCGGTGTTGAAAGGCATCTTGGAACCACTCTCGACCCAGCAGCATCTCCCTCCACATCGCATTCAGACGAGATATCAGTGGCGGTAATGTGACTGTCCAGTGCGAACGCAGCGTCGATAATCTCGGAATGGTGAAATGCTGGTACGGGGCTGGTAGAGCTTGGTGGCAATGACGATGATGACGCCGGGGCCGAGGTATAATAAGAAGATGAGGAAGAGG